AAAGCACTGTGAGGCAAGGGAGGGGGAGACTCAAAATGTTTCTAAATTTAAAACGCATTTTTACCCCGTTTGTGTTGTTTTTTTACTTACACAATTATTTAAAGTATAAAACATTGTTATTAACAATACACAGCGTGGATTTTAATCATAATTTTAGGGGGGACAACCCTCAGATAGGGGGGGTCCTGTCCCCCCCATCCCCCCCGGGATTTCCGCCTATGTATACGCCTAGTATGGCTTGAGGGTGAGTAAATAATGGGCTAATTTTCATTTTTGGGTGAACTATCCCTTTAAGGTTCTGTAAAAATGATGTCAGCACACCCGAAACTGTGGACGGGCTTCCTCTAGTGACTCTCCTGGGGTGTCTAGCGTTCCCCACTTATATGCTAGTTCTGCTTCCCGCCGCTTCCATCTCTCCAGGAACAGTGTTGCCCACACCACATTGAAAAGGGCAAACACCACACAGCAGATATCCTGACTTGTCTGCAAAAAAAGGTTGGTGATAAAAACCATGCCTTCTAACCAAATTAAAAACTCTTACTTTTTATACTTCCATTCTAAAGCTATATTGTGATATCAAGGAAAACAACCTGCCTGATCAGACTCAGCAAAAATCCAGAGCAGAAAGCCAATCACTGCTGGATACAGCATAGAGCTGGTGTAAAAGCCCAGCCAAGCAAAGTACATGCCAATCTTCACACCAAAATAATCACACACGTCATCTGTCAAGAACAGGACAACAAAACCATCAGGCCTAATCTACTTTTAAAATAAGACATTTGTACAGTATAACAATATGAATAAAATCTGCCACATTTGCATAATTATGAGGGTAATAATAGGGCTACCTATTTTGTTACCCCATGATAAAAGGCCCTGTTGATTTTATTTTTTCCTAAAACACGTTAGATTGGCACTTGGGTAAAATGCAAAATGCCTGAACTACAATATAGTGAAATATTCCTCAACTAACATCGTTCCAAGATGAATCACATGTTCCTTATAATAGGGGTTTCTTCTTAGAGATCTCATTACACATAAGACATGCAGTGACTCGTAGATTGCATTCAGAATTCATACTGTAGCACTTGATATTTGCTCAAAGCAGATCAGTCTGTACTGAGGAAAGCAGGTAGCTAGGTACACATGAGTTTGTTTGCTAAAGGAAGAGCCTTGGCCTGGAATCTCATTACACAACCATTGAAAAGCATCAGCCATCTCAGAATAACTAAAAGTTAGTCAAATCCTGTGCATGTTAGCAAAAACACAGGACTTCTCACCTAGAGGTTGCCTCTCACAGACTGCCTGAACCCAGGACGTCATCAGCTGATTCAGGATTCTCTGCTCATGAAGAGGAAACATTTGAAGAATCACACCCCTGGTTATAAGCTCTGGTACTGCCAAGGACACACACAATTTTGATCAGATTTGAAGAAAAAAAAAATTTGACAACGAACATTTTAGAAGAAAAGAAATGTTAAAATATCTACTGATTGGTTGGCCCTCCAGGAAGTGAATATTATGAAGGGCCTCGCCATGTTTTGCCCGCAGATTATCCAACAAATATTTGATAATACTCTGACGCTCCTAAAGAAATAACAGAGAAGATCTCATGAGAAAATGTTATTTGTGATTTGTGAGGAAATATGCGATTTCAAAAAAAAAAAAAGCAATAAGTGTCCTCCTTTGAACCTAACTATCAGCGGGGTATAAACAGATTGTACGAAAATGTATGATTGAGATTGTATGAATTCATGCAAATTAGCAACCAGTTTGCCAAAAAAAAAAGTTAGAAATTGCCATGCAATTGTGTCGGAAACACCTTTATGACATTAGACATTTAATGACTTCACATGAGAAGACAGGAAATGAGAGATTAACAGCAAACCTGTGATGTGAAGAAACACAGCTCACTCTCGATGTTTTCATAGATGTCATCCTCCTCACATGAAAACCTGCGAGTGCCGCCTCCGTAGCGTGGCTTCACTGCCTTTTGCATCCCCATCTGTTCGGCTCCACGCAACAAGCTTCAGACAAAAACGATTCTAATGCTGTATTTATTTAGGACCTAGTGACCATCTGTCAAACGTTTCAGACATTTTATATATCGAACAAAGCAATAAAATAACTGTGATGCGATACTTCCAGAGTTGAGCAGGTTTTCCACTATGTCTTACTTTTCAAAGGTTGAGGTAATGAAGAATGCATAGGTATGCGTGTATTTATGCTGTCGGATCTGGATTCTGATTTGTGGAATTCCCAACCGGATTTGGTTAAGTAACCATAACAGTGTATGGTCATCTGTGGTGTCTGTGGAAAAGACGATAACATGCTGAAATATGTTCATCAGTAGATCAAAGAAATTCACAAATTATTATTATGTGGTTTATTACCACACTTTATTTTTAAATATATTGTAAAACATGTTATATGTAAAAATGCACAATTACATTCATACTGTAAGGTAGCAAATGTTACATATATAACATTTGTGATGTGAAGCTGAGAAAATACATCTGCATTATCTAATAACTGTATTAGTGCAAACAGCAAAACTGAAAGACATAACTTTCGCACCTGGGAATGTCATAAGAACATCACAGTTTTCAGTGGGTGCCATTGTGATCGTGGATTTATGCTTCATGAGGTACTGTCTGGCATGAAAGAGACGACCTCTGAGCAATTTATCTGTTTGCAAGAGGAAAAAAGAAAGAAAGAAAGAAAGAAAGAAAGAAAGAAGTTATTATGTTATAGTAATCAGTACAATGACTATCAAGTGTCATTGCATGCCCTGTTTTATTTAATCTATCAAAGTCTGATTATGTTTGTGGAAGTGTATCATGGCACAAACAAAGGAGATCTCTGAGAACCTCAGAAAAACATTTGCTGTTGCTCATCAGGCTAGAAAAGGTTACAAAGCCATCTCTAAAGAGTTTGGACTCCACGAGTCAGACATATTGTGTATAAATGGTCGACCAACAAAGATCACTCCAAAAGCAAGACTTGTAATAGTCAGTGGGGTTGCAAAGGACCCCAGGGTAACTTCTAAGCAACTAAAGGCCTTCCTCACATTGGCTAATGTTCATGAGTCCACCATCAGGAGAACACTGAACAACCATGGTGTGCATGGCAGAGTTGCAAGAAGAAAGCCACTTCTCTCCAAAAAGAACATTGCTGCCCGTTTGCAGTTTGCTAAAGATCATGTGGACAAGCCAGAGGGCTATTGGACAAATGTTTTTTGGTCAGATGAGACCAAAATATAATTTTTTGGTTTAAAAGAGAAGCGTTATGTTTGGAGAAAGGAACGCACTGCATACCAGCATAAGAAATCTATCCCATCTATGAAACATGGTTGTGGTAGTATCATCGTTGGGGGTTGTTTTGCTGCACCTGGGCCAGGACGGCTTGTCATCATTGATGGAACAATGAATTCTGAATTATACCAGCAAATTCTGAAGGAAAATGTCAGGACATCTGTCTGTGAACTGAGTCTCAAGAGAAAGTGGGTCATGCAGCAAGACAACAAAAAGGTGGATATATATATAAGGTGTATAAGGTTTGTGTGCATGGGTGTGCATGTGTGTGTGTTTATAAAAGGAACCCAAAAATGTTATTAATTCCATCATTAAGGGCCTGAGTTACTTTTTTGTATAGTTACTATATGACCACTAAAACGTCTGCACACACATCACAAACCACTCAGCTTTCCATTTGAGCTGTCATTCTATTAAGGTCAAACCAAACAGACATTTCAATAGAGTTGTTATCCACATCCACATAAACCAAGCCTCTTTTTACACTTACCCAAATCCTTTAAGCTCAGCATTATGCCCCGAAACATGGTTAAATGAGAGGCTGATGGCAATATGCTGTATGCATTGTTGTAGAAAGTGGTGCTTCAATGGGATAAGAGGGCTATTGGTAATGTACCAAATTCAGTCAAGTTGCTGTTTTATTTACCATAACCAATATATTAAACACGGCTTTCCTCATGTGGAAGCACTCATTCTAAGTCTAAGCATTTTTTGGAGGAAATAGAGTCCTTGTGTGAGAGATGTTATCAATTTTCTGACCACTGTGTCACAAACTGTGCTCTTTTTAAATGACAGTTACATGAAGTGTGAAGAAAATGAGAAGTGAAGTTCTAACATTATTCACTTATACAAAATTGAATTCCATGCCTGAGCTTGTTGAAGAATAAAAAAACACATGTAAAAGTGTGAATTTGTGATATTACCTGATTGCAAGAGCTTTCACATAGCAAGACAGAAAGAAGAACTAGATAAAAAGAGGTAGCTCATCGCAAGTGAAGCGTTTAGTCCCATTTATGACAAATATTGTAGAATTGCATTCAAAATTGTGGCATTATGAATATGCATTTCAGTTGCTGAGCAGCTCTAATGGTTTTAAACACAATTATGGCTGAGCATTCAAACATAATGAACATCAAGGGAGGATTTGTAGCATAACAAGCAGGATCAATGCACATACGGTGGAGAATAAGCCTGCCTCAGCAAATATATGGAGTTATTAAAGTACAAATGTTTGAATTACATAATGGTAATAATCTGAATGAGCACAATTACAGATATTTTCATCAATAGGTAGGAAATGTTTTGTGTATTATAGGTGCTTGTGTGTCCACCACACACAGGTGAAGCGCCTATTCCATTTAACACTTACATATAATGTCAACAGACGATAACGAAGGCAAATAAGGTTTACTAGACAAATATTAGACCTGCAGATATCAACCTTTAGAATTGTATTCTGCCCCTAATAGCTCATCTTGTCCTATACTAGAGAGAAAATACACAGCGATGTATAAACACGCATATTTTTGGTTTGAACTCACCTACGACAGCTGGATAACAACATGCAAGCGTCTGCATGTCTGAGTGTCACTCACCTAACACCGCCGAGGACATCGCGTGAGATCTTCGCTTTGCTCTGCTTTATGAATACGTCAGCTGTGCTGATGCCGTCGTTGGCACTTGTGCTGAAACTTAACGGCCAGGTCCAGCAAGGCTTCCCCAGCGGCTAGAGCCTTTTCCAGATGCAAACAGGTGCAGAGTGTCCATTGACCACTGAATAAATCCTCAATCACATGCTGACATCGATCATCCATGGCGTTGTCAACACTCAGCGTATTTGCTCATCGTTTTAGAAGAGCTTCCATTCATACACTACGTTTTGCCGCGTAGCTGTATTAGGCTATTTCGCTTTATTTCTCTGTTTTGTTTGCCTGTAAGCTGTTTTCAGTAAGTTCAGTTGTTGTCTGCGCCATTTGTCTCATCCTGACTGGAAAATTACGCAACGTGATGTACATAATTCATAGATGTACTGAAACGAGCCAATCAGAGTGAATAAGCAAAACTCTCGCGCACAAAGAGGTGGAAATTCAGTACAGGTAAGACTAAAGACTGGATTTGGTAGCGATCTGAACATATAATTACTGAATAGTCTTACTGAGGTTGTTTTGTACTTTGAGCTGTATTGCAGCCCATATTGACCACTTCTTCAAGGATCATTCCATGAAATGGGATGTTTTGTGTCCCTTGTGAATTTGTGTAAACAATAGACAGCTGACTCTTTTACTGTGTTGTTATAGGCTTTTTTTTCCCCAACACATCAATAATAATCAATTAAAAGTATTTTAGATGTATTTATTTATTTTACTCCTTTCTCAGTGAACCGTGTTCCCAGTTTATGCATCAGTTTATCCATCATAACTCCACTTTATTACAATATATTGCATAATTTCAATAAATAATAATAATAAAAACAAGTTTAATTTGTATAGCGCTTTTCCCAAGCTCAAAGAGCTTTACAATCAACAATAAATATAAAAATACATAAAAGAACAGGACAATAAACAATTCAGAATACACATTCTCCACAAACAATCATGGTATCTGTCAAATATGAAAAGTTCGGATGCAAAAGCCTCTAAGTGCCATCTGAAATTTTCATCTAAACTGAGCATTTTTATCAGGCTACTATGCTTAGATTCAGTAGTTTTACTTTAATGGCATAGGTCCTTTTCTAGGCTATTAAAGTGAAATAACTTAACATAAATATAGGAGCCTGATAAAAATGCTAATTTTAGATGAAAATTTCAGATGGCACTTAGAGGCTTTTGCATCTAAACTCTTTATAATGTTAAGTGAGAATATATGTCCGACCCAGCAGTCTAACTGTTGAGTAAAAATTTGATAACCAGAGAAGTCCCTCATTAAGTGAGTACAGCAAGCGCCCCTTGTCGAACCACATCCCGTATGCCATACGAGTGCAAACTGCAGGACCCCAAACGGAAAACACGTCAAAGACGCAGCCTCTCCGTCCTTTGCACCATGCTACAAACACCGTAAGGTAGACAGGCCGGTGGAGTCAGACAGGCCGAGGACACGCCTCAGCAAGCGGCGGAGCGCAGCATCAGCGATGCAACACTCCTTACCTTATCTCAGGGAACCAAGGTTACATTAGTAACCGGAGCATTCTTTATCACTTTATAATATAAATTGCTATTTTTTTTCAGTAGGGGGCAATCTTAAAACGCTAACCCTGCTAACATGCTTTTGGTCACTAAACAATTGATTATTGAAAATGATTAAAATTAAAATGCTGTAAAAATATCAGCATTTAATCTGTCTAGTGACTCCAGTGTCATGACATGACCAGTAACTACAAAATGAACTATAAAACTGTCATCCCTGTTGCTTCTGTAAAGACAGCTTCTGTATATAAAAACATTAACATTTTTACATTTAGCTTGGTATGACAGTGAATTTGTTAACACTTATAAGAATACTTTTTGTGCGCGAAAGAATTGTTGAATAAAGTCGTTTTCTTTTTTTTCTTTAGCGCACAAAAAGTATTCTCGTAGCTTCGTAAAATTACAATTGAACCCCTGATGTCACATGGATTATTTTACAGATCTCCTTGCTACTTTCTGGACTTGGGAACATTTCAGTTGCGTTGCTGTCTATGCTGGGTCAGACAGCTCTCAGATTCCATCAAACATATCTTAATTTGTGTTCCGAAGATGAACGAATGTCTTATAAAAAAAATTCATTTTTGGGTGAACTAACCCTTTAACCATGCTGGTTCATGTAGTCATAAACTCCTAATTCAACAATCGTGACATTTATAAATGTTGTTGAAATTTCACTGACTACTTGTGACTACTTGTGTTATTTATGTGATATGCATTGTTTACATGCGGAATTGGATCAAAATATGATTACTAGAGAAACCTAATTAGGATTAGACTGTCAAAAATTATATTATTTATAGATGGTCATTTACTTCTTTATAATGATCTCTCTGGAATCACACAACTGCACAATAACAACGAAGTTTTGTTAACTTCGGACTCTACATTGAGCAGATACAGGTCATTTAGTCCAAATGGATGATGCCAGAGCATTTATTTGGCTTCGCAAGATTTCCTAAATCAAAATTGTCATGATACATTTTGTTATGAGGGTCTTAGGATGATGCGTGCCAAGATTTGTGTAATTCAAACCAACACCCTAAAAGAGGTGTTTTAAAGTAGTTTTTTCTTGACTAGAGGGTTCAGTTAACTCTCCCAGAGTTATGACTAAAATGCAGAAATGTACTTATGATAGCACCACCCGGTGTCCGACGTGTGTTAGGGTGCCTGAGAAATGGAGGGATTTGAAACTAACCACCAAGTTTGAGATCTCTATGACTTAGTCTCTCACACGCAGACGCAGACACATTTAGCGCAGAAATAAAAATTGGTAAAACAGTACAAATACAACAGCGTTCAGAAACTTCAGTGCTTGGACTAATTAAATTTAAGTTAATTGAAATTCAATTTTAAATATAAAATGAATATAGAAACAAAAAAATATTATATTCAGTATTATATACTTCACTGATGCTGCATTTCATTTGTAATCTTAGACAAACCGTCGTATTTTGTATAATTTTTTTTCCCATTAGCATTTGTATGTAATTATAATATTTATGTCTGTATCATATCAGCATAAAGCAGATCAAAATAAAATTATTATCATATATCATATATAATATTATCATATTATATTATTATTATAATTTGAAAGAGAATGTATTTTCTCACAGCTGTACACATACACCTGACTATTGGAATAATTGGCAGTACTGTGCAGTGTTAGTGAAAAGTTCCATGTAGTTTAAGAATATTTTTAGTACACGTTTTAATTAAAAACACATTTGCTATAAATAGCATTTATTGTTTTCATCTTCTAGAAAATATTATATAATCTAGACCCTCAAGAGACCATGTGTAGAGGTCAACAAGAGATGGTTTTGGCCTTTTAATGTCTTTACCAGAATAGTGGGCATAGAAGGGCCAAGCAAATAGGAAATGCAATTAGTGCTTTGGTGGAACAAAGAATGCTAGCTTCTAGAGACAAAAGGTGATGAGTTCTGACCTAGGTAGGAAGGAGGTAATAATAATAAGCACCTATGTGTTTCCTGACGGAGGGTGGAGAAGGGATATTTACTTCGAGATGCAGAACACCATGCTTATTTTTAAAAGACCCCAAAGAAAAATTCTTCATGACTTAGTGTTGTTAAAATGGAGCATGGCAGAAATTTAAAAAAAGCCCAGGTGGACCATTTAATCTGGCCTTTATCATCAGGAGAAAGCTCAGGATAACATCAGCTAGTTTATATAAAGTTCAGAGACACTGGCACTAAACATTCCACATCCACAAACAAAAATTGCATTGTTTTCTGTATATGTCTCTGTGTCTTTACAAAGATAGTTCAAAGATGTTGCTGTCAATGTCCCAGACGTCAGAGCCACCAAAACTTGTCTACCTTCTTTGAGAACCGGAGATCTTACTGTCTTAAGTGGAAAACCACGTATGTCAAACAAAGGATATCCTTTAAGCTGGATGGCAGGCTCCTTCTGTGATGCCTCTATATATTAATTGGCGCCCTGTTTCTTTGCTTTTGTCTGATCCACCTTTTTGGCATTCCTAGTGACAGGATGCTTGTTGACATGGGAAATCATTTTAATTGTTTTGCATTATGTTCACATAGTGCAGCGTTGCCAGTACCTTACTCTGCATTTAAGATTAATTTCTTTCTTCATTCACAATACTGACAGGCTGCATTTTTAATATGAATCATATTTCAGATCGATTCCATTATTTCACAACATATTTATCGTCAGAATGCATTAATGCTATCACTTTACTGACTTCAACCTTCCTGCACGTTGGTTGAGTGATGACTCGGTATGACACTTAAATGGGTTTGCTTTGGTTGGAGAGCGGCTCTGTTTTAAATAGTGCTTCCCATTGACGCAAAACAATGACAATAGCCTAATGCTTAGCCAGAGCTATTTTAAGCTTATGTGAAGTGGACCTATTGAAAATTTCATTGATAGTTTTTCTTGTACGTATGATCATTTTACTGCATTGGTGTCATACACCTGTTGGCCTGGAGTCATTGTGTTTTTCTGTAAACACATTTGTTCTGTTAATTTCCGACTTATTTAGAGGCTGAAAGAATGCAAAAACATTTTAGGGCTTTGTACTTATGTAAGGTTCAGGGCTGAGCTGTAATTATGTGTAAGAAATATACATTTATAGTATATTACAGTGTAATACTGTTAACTGCAATAGTATATTAACATTATATCCAAGCCATATTTGCCCCTTTTTATATGTAGATAACTATCAGACCCTGATAATGTGACTTTACTTGTGTGTCTTGTATTCCTTATGAATTATTTCACCAATTATTTAAAATAAAAATGCTAAAATAATAAAAAAATAATAATACATTGAATAAAACATGTTCTGCTTATTTTTCATTTATTTTTTTATTCCATGAAGCAAGAGAGCAAATAAAAATGTCTACAAAAATACTATTTATGAAAGACAATTGTAGTGAATGATATATACAAGATATATATAAGATATATACAAGCATATATGATTTTAATGCACAAAAGACATTATCAGCTTCATCCTACAAAATGTAAATAACATTCATGTTAATAATTAGTATTCACTTTACAGACTTAGAGGGTCAGTATATTTATGTTTTCTATTTTCAAACTGTTATAGACCGTTCTGGCTAGGATTTTGCCTGGGGTTTTGCCAGGACTTTGTTCACTCCCTCAGTTTGGGAGTGAATAACGGTGCAGCTCCTTCAAATGGAGATTTATCTGTGCTGTAAATCAAACATAAAAGGTTAGGAAATATTCATTGTGAAAATAAGCACAAAACACTGGGTAAATGATATATCAGTTAAAAGACTAATACCACTTCTGATTGGTTTACCTTGGCTTACTTCACTCCCACCCATTGGTGTTCTTGTTCCTCCAAGAGATGCTCCAAATCCAGGTGCGTTAGACCCAACTGAGGCAACACCTGCACCTCCTATCGCTGGTTTTCCCATCCCTAATCCACTTGATCCTGCACTGTTGAATGCTGTCATCCCTGCTCCACTTTGTCCTATATTGCCAGTTGCAGTTGGGCTTGATCCAGCACTGCCAAATCCTGTCAACCCTGGTCCTACTCCACCCAAACTACTTGTCCCAGTCTGGGCTAGACCTATTCTACTTGATCCTGGCCCACCTAATCCTATGCTGCCCGGTCCACCTGAAAGAGTCCCTGTCGCCCCTACAGCTGTATTTAATGATCCTGTCACACCTGATCCTGTGCTGCCCCATCTTGTGCTTGATCCTACACCATTAGGACTGGGAAATGCTGGCCCATTGGAGCCAGTCCCGGGCCATGGCATAATTGGTTTGCTCAGTCCAGTTGAACTCAGACCGGTTCCACCAGTATGTGGTATGTTTGGCAAACCGTAGTTGGTCATGAATGGGTTAGTTCGCATTGGTGGCTGAAAAATAGAGAAAGTAATTAAAGTTCATTATAAACACATATTTAATTTATAATTGCAAACATAGCTGTTTGTAATATTAAAATAAACAATAAAACATTGTGCTTATGTATAATTATACCATAGTAACCTCACCTTACAGCTGGCAAGTGAAGTATTGAGAGTCTCAATGGTGTTTGTGAGCATTTTAATTTCTTTTTCTTTCACTGAGAGAAGGTTTTCTTTCAGGTCGTTATCTCCTTTTAGCTTTCTATTCTCTAGCAGAAGTTTTTCACTGTCTTTGTCATTCTTGAGCTGAAGTTGTTCAAGAGTTTTGCGATTCTCACGATTCATGGCACTGCGATTCTGATTGCACCAAGTAGCGTCCTCTTTCAGGCGTTTGTTCTCTATCATATATTTGGCATTTTCCCCATTAATTTTTGTGAACTGGTTCCCCACTATGTCCATATATGACTGGAGCTTGTTCTCAACTTCTCTTGAAAGACTGCTACAGTTTTCCCGAATATCTTCAAGCTGATTTTTTTGTTTATCACATGTTAGTTGGAAAGAAATGTGTTTTGAGAAGAGGTCATCGATCCTTTTGAGGAATTCTTTAGTGACATCGGGGATTCCTTGTAAAGAACTGACAAAACCATTTTTGCACTTATCTTGAAACAAGATGAGCTCTTCTTCAAGGAAAGCCTTGTCTCGCCTTAGTCTAATTGCTTCCAAGTGATACCCATCCTTGTCTTTGTTGGAGTTGTCCAACTCAGTTTTAATAATGGCCACCATCTGAGTAAAGTTAGCTTTAACTAGCTTTAACATTTCTTCTGACTGCTGGAGCATACTTTGCAAACGTCTGTTGTTGTCTTAGAAAAACAAACAAACAAAAACTATAGTTGAAACAGTTCACTGAAAAAATGCTTGATTACCTTTATGCAGGAGTTACAGTCAGTGTGTTAAATAAACATAAATTCTAAATTTTTGTACTGAACTAATTTGTAATAGTAAAAAATATTCAGTGTAAGAATTTTTCTAAAGAACCATCTCACCATTTGGATCTGGACAGAACGTAGGAGGGCATGCGCGAGGTGCAGCCATTCTTTTTTCCATCTCACATCGATACTGTAAAAAAAAAAGCACAAAAAAACTGTTCATTGAGATTGAAGTTATGCATTTTAACTTTAAAATTAATGGAAGTTTAAAAGTTTAAAAGCCAGTGTTTTTCAGAACGTTCATATTACCAAGGAAAAGTTCTTACATTAAAAAAAAAAAAAAAAGGACATTTTGAAAACGTTGACAAAACTTTTGGAAATGACTGTTTCATAGCCTAATGGTAATGTTAAGAAAACATTCTTAGAACACCATACACCATGCAATTAATTAATTACTTACCCTTTTAAAACACCAGAGTATTCTCTTTTGTATGAAACATAATGTTATCTACAACAAATTAATTATTTGAATACATTTAAATCTTGCCCCAAATCTCACCGTCGTTGCTTGCATGCTCCTTATTGCCATAGATGAGGTGTTCGCCAGTCTGCGTAATTCAGCCAGAGCTTTGTCATTGCTCAGTTTTGCAGTGAGAGTGACGTTCAGAACTTTGGTGAGGTTCTTTTCCTTCCCACGGAGAATGAAATTTTCCATCGTGAGTTTGCTTACACTTTGGTCCAACTCTTGCAGCCTCTTTTCCTCCACCGTGTGCTCGGGCTGTCCGTACACCAGAAAGAGCACCAGACTCGCAATGATCAGAGACTGGATGAGTGAGGAGAAAAAGAAGACAATCTTCATGTAGTAACCACAGCTCTTGCCTTTCGATTTATGCATCTTCTTAGCAGCCAAGCCAAAGTTGGCCTGAGAGTAACTACTGTTGTACATGCTCAAATGTGGCCTTATCAATAAAGCCCCAGCACCTTCACTATGCAAAAATGTTCTTCTAAAACATCAAAGGCAAAATAAGAAGTTAAATATGTTAACGCTGACAGCTTATATTGTTTTCTTGCACCTCCCATTGGATGACGCTTCCCTGGTCCACCCTATGGTCATGATTTCAGAGGTTAGAACAACATCACGCACTGACCAGGGGGTGGCCAAAACCCAGACAGTACATTGTTCCAATATGTATGTCCTGCCAAAACAGATCCTTTTGCTTGACAGCATCTTGGCACTGGAGAAAGCACATGGTTGACGGTTTGACTACGTGCTGTTTTGAACAGACATTCAGAGATGATTTGAATCTATTATATGACATTCTACAATTTTGTTTATTAGAGTTTATATTGGTATTACGTAACAGATACTCTAAAATACTTCTGATTGACTGAAGAAATTTACAACACATTCGTACATGCTGTCTAAAATTCTTCCTGACGTAGGTAGGATGAGGATGTGGTTTGTATATTGTGCCTTACTAAAACATTGCCTTTGACCAAAGCATTTCACTCCATGGCCAGTTTTAGTTTAAACATATTGCAATTACTAACCATAACTTTGTGCTTTTATATAATATGCTGTAGTTGTTGAGCCATATGTTTCTAAACATCGTGTTTTTTCCTGATGTCTTATATATATCTTAAGAGCCGGAGGATAAGAATATTATGAAAGCATGTGGCTTTCCTGCCAGGAACTGTTGATGTGCCACCCCGATTCCAAGAGGAAGCAGTAATTCATAGCTGTGTCTCAAAGTGACAAACGCAGAAGGCACTGTCTGGACACTTCTTAGGTAAACTACTGAACAAATGAAGGAAATCAGTCATAAACACAGATGTATACACATCTGCTGACATTATCAAGAATTAATCGTCCTGTTTATCCGTTTCTAAAATACGCCTGACGTTAAAATTATCATCATCTAACAAGATTCACTCACACACTGTTGTTTCAAATGTTTCCAAATCCTGTAAACTTACCAAATCACACATCACCTCATTAACGTTAAAACGTTTGTGCTTGTGTTATGTAATTGCACTGATGAGACTTTACATAACAACAAGAGGTATAAAAAGAAAGTAATTAAAAATAATTTAAAAGTAATGAAGCCTGTGATTCCGGATGATCTATAGAAAAAAAAATTAAGGAGTGACACAGCAATCAAATTTTAATTCGGTAGAGTAAAATATTTTAGTTGGATGGCATCAGGAATTATAGATGATATATGGTTTGATAGTTAGCTACCTAAACTAAACTGCCATTGAGATGCTATTAGTTCTCCACAGGTATAGTTGACCTCCTTTGGATGCTACCAGGCAGCTAATAAAAATAATGTTCTAAAAACAATTTGCTAACGTTCCCATTAAGTTATGAAAATGTTATTTCTGAATGTTCTCTCTAAATGTTGTAAATGTATTTGTTTGTTTGAACATTTCATTTGAATGTTCCTTGTTAGCTGGACTCAAACAGAGCAATGTTTTTGTAGAGCCACAGAGTCAGTGTTTACACTTTTCAGAGAAATTCGTCTCTGATACTAAACTGGAATAAGAATATGTTGACACAAAAAAATTTATAGAATTCACCTTCAAGACCTGTGAACGTAGCCTCTGAATCTCACCACTAGATGGGGATATTTCCAAATAACACTTGGAATAACACTTGTAGCATTTTGTCATTTAACATACATGTATGTGCACATTGAAATAAAATAAAATACAATACAAATATTTTTATTTTATTGCTAAATAAAATTAAATAATAAAGCAATATGAAATATTTAATAAAATAAAATATCATATTCAAATAATAAAATACAAATATTTTATTGCATAATAAAAACAATATTTTATGAAAAGTCTCCAGGGCGCAGTAAAATCAGCATAAGTAAGAGCTGCAATGCTACCTTGTATCCTAAAAGAGATCAATCACATTCCTGAACCCTGGGGTCAAAGGCCAAATAAACTCCCAGCTTGTACAATGCACATAACTAAAGCATGCACTCTCAGACTCTTTTCTTTTGTGTGCACTCTCTCGCACCCATGCTCACACAAACACCGTATTTGACCAAATCTTGATAAAGAGTTCATATAAATGAATGATGCCAAATCAGTTTGCTGCTGGTTTCATTGAGTATCCAGAGTATGTTTTTGTTTCTAAGAATATGAATTCACAGAAACAGTTGAGAAGGAAGCAGAGGTTGAGTTGGGGCAGCAAATGAAATGTTTTTCTCTGGAGTGTGACCTTTGAATAATTATGTGAACTAGTGGCCAAGATCTAAATCTCAAAACAAGAGACAGCTGTCTCTTGGATCAACAACAAGATGTACAGCCTGGATGGCTTTCTCATTGTTTGAAAGTAATAAAAATGTAAATTAAAGAAACTGTACATTCCTCTTTATACTGGAAACAGTGCTGAACCAAAATCTTTGGCTGAACCTGTGACCTTGTAAAGCTCACCTGCATTGTTTGATAATTGTGCAAAATATTACACAAAATTATTATTACACAAAATTATGCCTTTCCTACTCTCTGACCTCTTGCTACGTAAATCTGGACGGAATTTAAGCTTTACCTGCCCTGTAGATACACTCTCGGGTTATTACTGAAACCTTATCTGGTAACTGCCATTAACAGGATTTGTACTTTAATCACTTTGATCATAAAGCATCTCCAAGCGTTTTAATGTTTATTCCTTTAAACGAATGTCTTTTTTTTTTTTTTTACATTAACAGTATTTTTTATATACTAGCAAGTCATCTGGTAGTGACAAGTATCAGTTTTACTGTTACTTCAGAACAAACTAGTACTCAGTGACAAGTATCTAATCCATTGTAACTGAAAACAAATTGCACATATTTTGAATTCCATTTGGGATCTGTAGTTCAGATATCAACTAGTCACTTCCAAGTTCCAACTAGCATGTATATCCATTTCAAGGTTTACCAGTATTCCAGTTGTTGCTGGTCAACCCGATCTCATGAAAGTGCGTATAAATAGTACGCCAAATAAAAACGAAAACTCGTGATATTGATACGCAAAAATGGACTTTGGCGTGTATATGCTACGCGATGGGTAGGTTTAGGGTTGTGGGGTAGATGCGTATCATATGCACGCCAAACACATGCGTATCATATGCACACCAAAGTCCATTTTTTGCGTATCAATACCACGAGTTTTCGTTTTTATTTGGTGTACTATACTGTAAAAACAAACCTATGGAATCTACTCAATAAGTTAGGTAACAATTTGCACTCAATTTGTTTGGGTAGATTTCATCCTATATTCTTTAGTAAAGAGTACCTGAATTTAACAGCTACGATATACTAAATGAAATTAGGTAAAGTCTACCTAATATTTCTCAATACATTACACAGCAAATTACTTATCTTCATAATTTGGTGTGTGTGGCCCTCAAGTTCGTGCTCCCGTTAAAAAGAAGAAAAAAAAAAGTATATACATTTTTTACATTAGTTCAAGCATATTAACAACATGTTGCTCAATTATTTCCAAGACAAAGCAGGGTTTCTGTATTAATCAGCACTTCAATCTAAGCAGGTAACAAATCGAAAGCAAAACCGGAACTTTTGACTCATTGTTTAGTACCGGTACCTGAATTAGGTGAAAACTGCTACAATTCTTCTTTCGTGCTCTTCAAATGCTTTCATTAAGATTTTTCTGTGGAAGAAAAAATAAAGTCAGAATTTGTTTCTAATTATTAGATTATTAGGCTATATAAGATTATATTTCAAAAGTGCTACCACCATAAATTAATTGCATTTTGGCTTAAATCACAGTAAGCTACCTCACTGCTATTACATGATGCATAAATACAATTCAAAAGATTAGAGCAGCAGTTAAAACTAGTTGAAATATGATGGAATATGATTTTCCCCCCACTTTAATGCACTCTCCACAGAGAGTTATGAATCCCAAATGCATGAATATTAGAAACACCTTTTAATATAATGTATTCCAATATAACACTACATTTTTATACTGTTTATTGAATAATGTACTATATCCTGATTTTAATATTGTACATAATTTATATTCATGTTGCATTTACATGAATGCAAATGATAGAAGGCATTCCTTAAAGATTAACGCACATATTTTAGAAAAGAATTAACGTTACACTAACTACACTTGTGCAATCTGCAAACCCAAGTTCACTAAAACACATAGGCCTAACACATAACTCAATTTAAGTGAATTGGCACAAAATAGACTCAAATCATAGAAACGATATATTAATGATAACAAAGGGAACATAAAAAGCCTTACATATGTTCTATCTGTTGCTTTTTGTCGGTGTCACCACCACAGCACATGCTTGCTAATCGCCGTACATGCTAATGTGCATATAATACTCGTGTGCTCTGCCTGGGGCTGATACTTAGGTGTAATACGAAGTTTTTAAAAGTACTTACTGCAGGCAGGCACCGAGAAGCACAGTTAATAAAGTGAACTTGAACTTGTTGTGAACAATTTTATGCACATACAATATTTGTAAAGGATGATATTTATAACGAAGGAAGCACATCGCGCCAACCCAGGCATACGAGCACACGCACAAACGCCCAATTATAAACTGATTCGGACGGGTTGTATTTAACACCCTCCTGCATAGTTTTTTACAGTGTATTTATACGCATTTTAGCTTTACTGGTATCTGTATTCATTTAGGTACTACTATTTTCTAATCCTATTTACTCTAAATTAGTACCTTTTATTAGACACTACTGTCGCATTTTTAATATTACTAGTAACACTTTTAATTGAAGTATAATGTAACCATTTTGAGTCATTATTGAAAAGGCAATTGTAACTAGTGAGATAAGAAATGTTACTGTTAACTAGGAAAGATATTATATAGCCTCTTATAAATAAACAGTATCTAATATATAAACACTAGTAAAGCGGGAAAATATATTAGTAAATACTGGAATAAGTATTAGCCTAGCATTTAATAAATCATTACTTGTAAAAATTAAAAAGATGCCAGTCATACTAC